AGGCCTATCTGAGTAATTTGAAACCAAAATTAAATCCATCTATGGAGAGAGCAAATTATGCAAATATGCAAAATAGCTGCCACTTCAACTGCCTAATTTTGAGTCACGTGTTATGTAGAATCCATATAACACATTTCAGCAAGAACTATTTCTAGATTTACCATAATGACTACTATCAATTTTATTTCTTGAAATAGGGAGATAGTGGTGGTCCATTTGTCGTAAATCGTGATGGAAGATGGTATCTTGTTGGTGTGGTAACTGGCGGCCGAACGTGTGCCGGGCGAAGGGATCCCACTATATATGCCCGCGTTTCAAGATTTCTTGATTTTACTTATTATACAATATGGGAACATGCTCTTGCCGTTATTCCTATTTCGTAGTCAGAAAAAATATTCTTAGATTTGTTTATGTTTCTTTTTTTTTTTCGTTGTTACACTGTGTGCTACCAAAGGTTGAAACCGAATTTCAGTTTATCTTGACTTTGTATATTAATTTTAAGGAATTAGCTCAGATACTTTTAACTGCAGCACATTTAAAATCCCTTAATTAGCTTCCATTTGAAAAAATAGGAAAATATCCTAACCACAACCAACAGATGTATGTGTATAAATGATTCTACAGTATAAGGTACACCATAATTTGTTATTTTGACAATAAAGTTGACTTGTATCTTGTACCTATGACAATATATCGTCCATCCGTTCTTTGCATAGAACCTTAATTGTGTTGACTCAAACGTAAATGTATCAATTTGTGTAATCAGTTGTAGTTAATAAGAGACAACAATGTTTCCATACAAATCAGTAAAGGGCGCTATCTATACCCTTTCGTTAAGGTTCAGAACAATCGAGTTTTCTATGATAATACCCAAAGATAATATTAGTTTATGTCTTTCATTCATGTATCATGGCGTACGCAAGCAAAAATGAAACATAATTTAATATTTTAATTGGATTTCCGATTTACGATCTGTAAATTTGTTTGGGCAAAATATAATGTTGCATTTAAATAACTTAGTTTCTCATTAGTAAAATGCCAATTTAAAAAAAAAATGTTTTTCTAACCAGTTTGAAAATACTTAAAGGTTATTAATTGTATAATTTTCCTATTTCTCCGATTTGCTTTGCCATCTGTCTTAGTTTTTAGTTGATTTGCGTCTTCTCTCGTCCTGTTCTAGTCCTGTTTTTTTTTTCAGACTGTCCCAGCACAGTATTTGTTTGCTTCTTTTTTTTTTCTTTTCTTTTTTGCATTTCTTACTTGTACCGTATATTATGAAAACAATCACTTTCCATTATATGCATGGGAAAAGAAAGTGAACAATGTTACATAAAATTTGAAACAATAAATAAATAAATGAAAACAACAAATTTTACGTGTGTATTATTGAACATTGTTATCTTTTGTGAGGTCTGTCTACGAAATGAGACGCTTCGTTAGTGAGACTGTATTGGAATAATCTTAAAAAATAGTAATTTTCCTTGACATTTGGGTTTTGACTTTTTTATTCATTCTATTCTGTTTATAGTAAATAGCCACCGAGGTGTCTTAATAATTATTGTTTCAACGTATTTATTAAAATTCTCAAAAGCGAAAAGCCTGTCACTTAAAGGCCAAGTGCGGGTTTGAAATAATTAATGTTTAATATAAAATAGAGGGATGGGGGACTACAAAGAACGTGATGTCACTTGATTTTGGAGCACGGTATTCGAAAACGAGGCTCGTGAACTGGGTCCCAAAAACGATGTGGTGCTACAGGATTTTGCTACACAGTACTAGAGATGGGGGACGAATAAGTGAACATATTATTTGAACTCAACTGTAAGGATATCTTAAAACAGCAATCTTTGCGTTGTATGAAAATCTCAAGGGAAAGCGGGGAAATAACCAATGGGAAAATCAAGCAGTTTTAAACTAGGTGAATTTATTTCCGCAAATCGAAAGTGTCGGTTCGCTGAGCTCTAATTGGTTCGGGAATTGGTTGCGCATTTTTTGGATTCGTAGGAAGTAGAAACAGCTCGAACTACATTTTCCGCTGAAGCAAAAAACTCCGATAGAAACGTGAATGCACATAATGTGCATGAACCGACGCTTTCGATTCGCGCGAATAATTCGCTTAGTGTAAAATTGTTGAAACCCAATCAAAGGTGGATTGCTGTCATGTATTGCAGAGCGACAATTGATTGTAGAATTAAATCTGGGGATAAATACGAATTTAAGTCCTATTTGAATGATCAGTGTCATCGAGTTTATATGAAATCTAGAAAACCTCCAATAGAATTTACTTTTCAGATCATCCTCACAATTATTTGATGGTAAAAATTATTGATATGGTGTCAGTTATCATGTTTGAGTAGCCACTAATACGTGCATTTTTTTCTGTTTATTAGTTTTTGGTCCGCACGAAGCGCTGACCCAGAGCCTCACTGCTGTCCTTGATCTTGATCTTGTTCCCAAAACTTTTAAAACTTTAAAAAGTCCAGCGTCGCTATATTGAACGGACGTGCATGAAATTACACTAGAGGTGATTTCCAACAAGCATTCTTCGCCATTACTGTCATTTACCGCTACCGTAATAGTGCACGATGCACGAATGGCGCGGTCGGTTATTAGGATGTTCAGGGGCGGATCCAGAGATGTCCAAAAGGGAGGCCGAAAGTGGGGCAGAAGTTGGGCCGATCGAGACAACACTCTTCTAGGGGGCCGGGCGAAATTGTTGTGTTCCAGACGCCCGAAAATAACATTTAAGGCGTTGGCTTTCATTTTTCTTTTTTTTTTATTCCTTTTTTTACTTCCCAAAAAAAAAAAGTGGGGGGGGGGGGCGCAAACAGTTCTCATTCATGTTCATCATGAATTAATCGAGGCGCGATTGCAACTCGCGACACCCTTCAGTTACACGATGTGTTCTCTAAAGAACTTTAGAGAACGTTTTGAACTCACGACCTTGAAAGTGAACTAGCAAAATGATTTTTTGTTCTAGAGTGGATTTTTGATATGTCATTAATAATAGAATCAACCTTAAAATCGTTTTTGTGGCTATTTTTTTATGAAGTTATAGGCGATTATATACGATTTTACCATGACGTCACTGGCGAAAAAAATACAAAAGATCGTGTAAATAGCGCCGCGTAGGGTATCCACCGCGTAGGGTATCCGCCGCGTACGATCTTTGCGTGCATGCTGTAACAATCACAATTTACAGCCATGGTTACAGCATACACGCAAAGATCGTACGCGGCGGATACCCTACGCGGCGCTATTTACACGATCTTTTTGTTACCTTATCGCCAGTGACGTCATGGTAAAATCGTATATAATCGCCTATAACTTCATAAAAAAAAAAGCCAAAAACGATTTTAAGGTTGATTCTATTATTAATGGCATATCAAAAATCCTCTCTAGAACAAAAAATCATTTTGCTAGTTCTCTTTTAAAAGGTCGTGAGTTCAAAACGCGCCTTGGTATTCAAGTCTTTTTTTTTCCAATTTTAAGATTTTTTTTTTTTAATTGTAAGTATTTAAATTTTGTACAAATGATCATTCTAAATAATGTTTTTTTTGTACAAATAAACATTCTAATTATTTAAAAATTACTGTAGGCCTACATTATTGCCATTACCACTAATAAGGCACGTTGCATGAATGGCGCGGTCGGTTAATGTGTTCACGTAACGCATTAATTATGATTTCATACATTTCTTTTTCTTTTCTTCCCTCCTTAATTCTTTTAATCTCTTCATTTCATTCATTTCGTTATTTCCAGGGGCGGATCCAGTAGTGGAACGGGAGGCACGTGTCCCCCGTTTTGCCACTAAATTTTCGAATATTTTAATGAAAATCAACGTTCTTTATGTGCAGTACTCAGCACTTATCTATTCTGAAACTGTTGTGCCGCCGTTTGAAAATTTCTGGATCCGCCCCTGATTTACATTCACCTTCCAATATAATTTTCTTTTATAAAATTTTATTTCAAAATGTTAATCAAAATAATTATTTCAGTTTAATTAATTTCATGTTACTTCACTTCTCCCTGTTATTGTTATTATATTTAAAAAAAATAAAAAAAAACCAAAAAAACACACGTTTATGACGAACTAATCCATTTTTTTCCAGTTGGAGGGTGTGACCACTGCCGCTGAGGTGCGAATTGCCGGGCACTCTAAGACCTTAATGGGAGCCGACTGTGTCCCTTCCGGTCCCCATTTGAATCCGCATGATATAAGCATTTTGTTTGGGTACACCCGCGTGGATGTGCCACGTGACAGTTTCTGAATACATAATTACCTGCCTATTTTTTTATGTAAGTTTCAATACTTCTGGCTATATAAAACCCGGTATTGGCCATTTTCGACCTGCTGCAATTGATCCCCATTACGACAGACGTAGGGGGACCTGGAAAAAATGTTTGTTTGTTTGTGAAAGAACCGCGCATGTGCCACCATGCGGTGCTGATGGTCGAGCCACACACTGCGTGGAAAGCGTGTGTATCATGAAGCATCATGGCGTCCAAAACAACTATTGAAATGGACGCGGGAGAACCAAGCGAACATAATTCTGCCATAGTTTTTGTATATGATCGAAGAAGAGGAAATGCACCTGAGAAAAAGATAGCACTTGCAGGACTATTTAGTTATGAAGCCTTTAAAGCTAAGATTATTGAGGTATACATTGTATTTCATACATTTGCTAGGCCAGGGCCATCCCTCAACGTTAGAGGGCCTACCAAGCCTCTGTCTGCTAGTGCTATGGCCTTGCATAGCTGGGTTAGGTTTGGTTAATAAAGGCCCAAGCCTGACTTAGTCTGTCTAGGCCTAGCCCAGAAAGAGAAGGAGTTCTAGGCTGTCTATGACACTACATATACTATCCCTTTTCTAGAAGAGCTGTTCAACCTACACCACGATGATACTTACTAATAATATTATTAATACGGCGCTAATGCACTTTAGTACTGTAACACTTCTATCTTCAAAAATTGTCTTTTTACCTACTGTGCGCTCCTAACAATATCTTACGGTTCCTTTTCATCCAGTTCTCTCACTAATTACACCAGTTTTTAGCATTTTATTACTAAAAACGTTCTTTCCCAGCGATTCATGACGGTAGCGACTCGCGATGTTTGTTTATAAGTAATTGCCAGGTTGTTATCCAATTTTAAGGACAGCTCTCTTCGTTGCCAGGTTTTTTTTTTCATTTTGTTAATTAAAGTGATGCCTTTTCATAAATTGTTATTTGTATTTTTATCTGTATTTTTATATCGTTGTTCTGGTACAGTACAATATTGATAATGACATATTACATTTAGGGACAATTCAGCTATTACATACTGAAGCTGTATTCACATCGAATTCCCATCAGAAATTGTTTTTGTGTGATCGATGCTTTTAAGACCATATTTTAGTCAACAACCGTCACAGCCCTCAACAATCTTCAACAAGCAGCAATGATTTGCCCAGGGGTGGCGCCAGCGGGTGGGGGCCCTCCGTCGGGGAGAGCTGTCCCCCGCCCCCGTCGGGGAGAAGAAGCACAATTCGTCGCTCTCGGCCCTGTTGACGGTAATTAGTATGACCGCAATTGAGCAAACAATAGGCCTAATTATCACACATAGCACCTTTATTACATTTGACCCAAAAATTATTACACTTAGAACCGTTATTACATTTAGACCCAAAAATGATTACACATAGGACCTTTATTACATTTAGACCCAAAAAAAAATAACCTTTATGACATTTAGAACCAAAAATTATTACACATAGGACATTTATTACATTTAGACCCAAGAATTACTACACTTAGACCCTTTATTATATTTAGACCCAAAACTTATTACACATAGGACCTTTAGTGCATTTAGACACAAAAATCATTACACTTAGAACCTTTATTACATTTGGACCCTAAAATGCATAGGACCTGTATATTTAGACCCAAAAATTATTACAATCAATCAATCATTTGTCAATCATGGCCATAATTACAGTTAGGACATTGCACTTAGGACCTACATATATTTATTTATACATTCCTTCATAATGTATGCATGTTCTGCTGCCTTCCTTTTCCCTTCTTTCACGAGCCATCGAAATTGTCATACTGTTGCACAGTAGTGGAGTCTTGCGCTCTACAATAAGTTCTGAATATCTGAAGCTTCATTTCTGTCTCTTATACACATCTAGCCTTCTAGGTTATTTGGTCCTAAACATGTAAAACACCAAAGTTCCCAGGATGCCATTGGACCCGAAGACGGATGGAGCCGTAGGCGTTAAAAGCCGTGGTTTTTAGTAATAAAATGCCTAAAAACGGATGTTATTAAGCAGAATCTTAATGAAGAACCATCGTAAGATATTGTTAGGAGCACACAGTAGGTAAAAAGACAAGTTTTGAAGATAGAAGTGTTACAGTACTAAAGTGCATTAGCGCCATTAATACTATATCTAGGCCTAGACTAGGGTCCTTGTTACTTTTACATGCTTGATTGATGAAAGCGATAGATACAAAACAATCTCTTGCACATCTTTTGCACCGATTTGGTTGGGCTGGCTACTTCGATCTTTGCTCAGTTCTTAGCCCCGAATGCAAAACAGGCGCTGTATATTCCTGACAACTTTAAAATCATCATTACGTTTGATATAGCAACCATATATCTTCTGTTGGTACCCTATAAAATATTTTGAAAAATTGTGAAAATTTAAATAAAAAATACATGATTTTCTGTACTGTAACTATTTTCAAAACTTTTGTAGTAGTACCAATGCCTCTGCATGACCGACGTCACCCTTAATCAAATATAAGAAATATCTGGTTTTGTTTTTTTTTTTGTTGTTTTTTGTTGTTTTTTAGTAGTCTCTACTCATACCTATAGTTTTTTAATTGCACGGATACCTCAAAAACTAACTCAATTTGTGTGGAAAATCACTACGAAAATATATGCGCAGAATCATAACTACTGTATAACTCATTGGGTATAAGATTAGTCAAAGCCTAATTTTCGGCAAAACTTGTGTGGAAATCAGCCCTTTTTTTTTTTTTTGCTTGGATAGATTTCTATGTCTAATTTTTGTGCTGAGGATACAGTATATTCCCATGCAGGCCTGACTTTACAATCTGGGTCTCTACTACCGCTGTGTTGTTGTTTGGGCTGTGTTGTTTATTTCTTTTTGGGCTAAATATTATATGATGAATACTTTATGCATTATAGCGAGAATATGTTTTTTCTTTTATTTCAGGAATTTGGCTTGACACAAAAAGATCACTTTGTTATTGTCACAACCACACGACAAGAAGTGACAAATGAGACATACGGTAAGATTATTAGATTCATCAATCAATCAACTTTCAATCAATCAATCAATCAATCAATCAATCAATCTTATTTATACTGCATTTGCACCAAAGAAATATTTTGCTAAAGTGCTTGTTTAGGAATATGATTCAGAAAGTCTGTGGTGAAGAAGAGAAATCAAATACATTTCAACTAGTGTTCAAGGGTGTTCATTAAGTTTACATTCTACATTGCAATTCATGTTTAGAAAAAAAGATATAAATAAAAACTTAAATGGCTCATTTAATAGAAGAGCAATACATGATCAACTTTCAATACTTCAAGGATTACAGTAGGTTTTTGGAATTTTGCTGCCAAAAATTGTAGATTTTTTTTTTTACTTTAATTATATTTGGCTTACTTTTTTATTTTTTTTTTAAACATTATGAGACTGACAGATATGAAAATGGAGAGAGCAAGCAAACTATATCAACTGTGGATGCAATAGTTACATACAGTATAAACAATGAGCATTGTACAGAAAAGAAATTATGAATGTACTGAAGTGAGATTAAGATCCAAAGAAATATAATTATCAACATGGTTTCAAGGAGGCAAACATGCATGTCCTTATTGACAGTTTGCAGAATCTTCATCGAGATGAAGGCAGCAACTTATCGAAGAATATGATTGTAGCCATCTTAACTAAACCAAAATAAAATCTACCCTAAATGCATTTTTTTCTTTTGGTTACTATACAGACAATTTAGTAGAAGATAGGGATACCCTGTATCTTCTTTTTAGTGTGAAGCAAGAGTTATCCGCCCCAGCGCAAGAAAGGGTCGACTATCAGCCTCACTATGACACTCTCGTGAAGAGTGGCATGTACGAGTATTACGCCAGTGAAGGTCAAAACCCATTACGTATGTATAAATATTGTAATAATAATATTATCATAAATATCTTTATCAAGTTTATAATTTAGTCATGATTTTGCCTACAATATTTAGCTTTTTAAATTGTTAGTTCCTATGCATGTAATGCAATAGGAACTATTGTAATCACTCTTGCTATTTCCTATGTTTTTTATTGTGTGTAGTGTGTATGTGTGTGTGTAGACATTTATGCAAATGCGCATGCGTCAAA